GGCGCGCGCGCGGGGCGGGGGGGGGGGGGGGGGGGCAAGCGGGCAGGGTGGAGCTCAGAGCGCCCCGGGAGCGGAGGGGGGGAGGAAGCTGAGCGTCCCGGGGGTGGTGGGGAGGAACCAGCCCGGGGGGGGGGGCCCAGCCCCCCTTCGGGACTGGCCCCTGCCTCGGAGCCACCTACCTCTGCCAAGGCCCCGCGTGGGAGGGAGGTCGCCTGGGGGCGGAGCATGCGCAGGAAGCTCTCAGAAATGCCACTGAGGCCAGTATGCCGCCCTACCAATGGCTGTCAGTCATAAGAAGAAGGAAAGTCGATTGGAAGACCTGGCCGCCAGTCATGAGGAGGGGCGTAGCGAACGATCTGGGCAACTGTCATTCCAAGCCAAGTTGCAGGGATAGGCTGATACCCTGAGTGAGGAGCAGCAGGGATAGGCTGGCCCTTGGAATAGTCACCAGGGTTTATTCGATCAGCGTTTGGTGAATAGGCCTGTCAGTGCGGCCTCTGTGCGCAGCGATTGGACAAGCCTCTTCTGTCATACCTTTACATTGCCCGCCCCCTCTTTTCCAGCAGCAACCAATAAGCGGCGAATCGGGCCCTCTGCTGCCTTGGCTTGATCCTTGCGCCTGGTGACTGGGGATTTCCCCCTCCCCCCCACGTCACCGCCTGGCGTCCTCCAGGTACCCGTGGGTGAGGCACGGGCACAGGGGAGGCTGGGTTGTGGCACATGGGCATGGGGGCTGAATTGTGGGGCATGAGGGTAGGGGACTGCACTGTGGGCCAAGGAGCTGGGCTGTGGGGCATAAGGCCTGGCTAATGGAGCTGGGCTGTGGGCCAGGGAGCTGGAGTATGTGGTAGCAGGCCAGGAGGGGGGTCAGGGCGCTGTGTCAGAGGGGAGAAGGCCAGGGAACAGGGTTATTGGGCACGGAGCTGGGTACTGAGTGGATTAGGGATGTAATAGTATAGTCTGTTAACTGATAAACAAAAGCTTATAGATTAATGCTATAAACTACACACATTTCCCCCGGTCCCCACCCCTGAGTAAATTTTTTAGCAGGCTGGCCAGCAGCCCGGCTCAGTCCCAGCTTGTACCCCGTCTGAGACCTACCCCCACTGCGGCTCTGTATTTAAAATGTATTAAGAGCCTGGTGAGCAGGCAGCCCATCTCAGTTCTGGCTCGCGCTGGGTCCTAGGGCTCAGACCCTCCACCCCCAGGTAGGGGCTGCTGCCTCTGTGTCAGAAGCAGCTGCATGGGGTGGCAGGCAGCCAGTCCAGGAGGGGAGCTGATTTATAAGCTGGCTCCCCTTGCAGAACAGCTCCCTCCTGGCACTCCATGCTGCTGCCTCTGATAGAAAGGCAGCACGGGATGTCAGGGTGCTCCCCAGGAGTGGTGCTGGAGTGCATTGGCTGCCAGCCCCACCCCCTAGGACTATAGAATAGTCGATTAACTGATAAGAATTCATGAGGTTAATCGACTATTCAATTAACCAATGTTAAACATCCCTAGAGTGGACGGGTAGTGAACAGTGTTCACTTTATGCTCAGGAGAGATTCCAGTGCCGCCCAGCTGATTAGCAGAGTTCCCACAGCTAAGTTTTGTTCCTGTTGGTGGTGCACAGAAAACATATTATTCTTTACATGGAGGGAACACTGACGAAAAGGGCCTGTCTTAGCTGGGGGGGGGGAAGGGTGGACAGGAAACTGGATAATGGAATATGTATGGGGACAGGGAGCTGGGTTATCTGGTAATAAGCCAAGAGGTGGGATTTTCTGCTGATGTGCAGAATACATTTTGTTTTGTGCACCCAGACATATGCTGATGTGCACCACATGTTTGCAGCTGTAGGCGTTCTGCTAATCAACTGAATGGCATTTGAATCTCTCCTGGCTGGCCATCAAAGTGCACAGTTTACAGGGAACTCTGGCTGTTGAGTAAGGAGCTGGCTATGAAAGTGGGTGGTCAAGCAGGTGGAGAGGGATGTGGTGTGGG